AAGTGTCTTGATCATAAGAATCTGCACAAAACTGACATCAAAAGGTGTTTTTTGATTAAGAAGAATCGGACCGTTCCATCGTCATTAACATGCCCTTGAAAATGGCCTTCCATTTCCCACGCTTTAGGAAGAGTACATTATGTGTGATTTTGGTCCTGGATTAAGATTTCGAACAACCAGACTTAGCTCACTTTAATGTGCACATTCCTTTTGCAAATCTCCAAAGAAATTGGCAGCGTGTCTTTTTCATATCCAAGATTCAACTGTTGCATCATTCTCCTATCTCTATCCACAAATCATAATGAAAGATAAACTTCAAAATTGATTGAATATGAGAAGATGGAGAAATAATTTGAGAGACTTCGAGCGAATTTTCGTAAAATGATATTATTTTCTATATCTTAATTGACAAGTAAAAGTTTAAAACAACTTTACCATATAAACTTTTTATTATTCTTAAAGTATCGCAAATTCAAATAAATAATTATATACCTTTACAAATCAATTAAAACGTCTTATATATAATTTATGTAGAAAATACACTAATTTACTTACTAATCAATAATCGTACATTAGGTGGATATATGCCGTATAGTCATGGTGTCATTATCCTATTAAAGACAATAACATTGTAGATTATATTACGTGCGCATATATCTTCCGCAACACTTTTTTTATTAGAAGAGACATTGATCGCCATAATAAGGGGAAAATAATTAGCAAATTTAAATAAACTATGCATTATAAAAAAACACTAAAAGAGACAAATAATTAACAAATTCGAAGACAACGATAACGAGAGAACAATATTATAAATAGAGGTAAGAGGAGACATAAGGCAAAGTTCAGACCCACTCGTCTCTCATCACTCACACTCAATGGAGACATTACCATCGTCCCCACCATCATCACCGCCGGAGATTCTCGACCTTGACTCTATCAAAGCTCTCAAAATCCTCGGTAAAGGCGCCACAGGTACCGTCTTCCTCGCACACGACGTCGTTTCAACCTCCTCTTCTTCTTCTCCCTTTGCCGTCAAGCTCGTCCACAAATCCTCCGCTTCCTCTCTCCGCCGTGCACGCTGGGAAATCGAGGTCCTCCGTCGTCTCTCCATTGACTCTAATCAAAACCCTTTTCTCCCTCGTCTCTTAGCTTCTTTCGAGTCACCGGAATACTTCGCTTGGGCCGTCCCTTATTGTTCCGGTGGTGATCTTAATGTCCTTCTTCACCGTCAAAACGAAGGCGTTTTTAGCTCCTCTGTTATAAGATTCTACGTGGCTGAGATCGTCTGTGCGCTTGAGCATCTTCATACCATGGGGATCGCTTACAGAGACTTGAAACCCGAAAACATTCTGATTCAGCAATCCGGTCACGTTACGTTAACCGATTTTGACCTTTCTCGGAGCCTCAAAAAACCCACCCGACCCCAATTCTATCAACCCGACCCGGAATTGATAACCGATCGTAAAAAAAGTCGGAGCTTTTCTCGGTTGATCTCGCCGGCGGTGGAGAAAAACAAAACAGGGTTGAAGAAAACAAGATCCGCAAGGGTTAACCCGATTAATCGCCGGAAAACGAGCTTCTCCTCCGGCGAACGTTCTAACTCCTTCGTCGGAACGGACGAGTACGTCTCGCCGGAGGTAATTCGCGGCGACGGTCACGACTTCGCTGTAGATTGGTGGGCTCTCGGCGTTTTGACATATGAGATGATGTACGGAGAAACGCCGTTTAAGGGGAAGAGCAAGAAGGAGACTTTTCGTAACGTGTTGATGAAGGAACCCGAGTTCGCTGGAAAACCCAACGACCTCACTGATTTGATCCGGCGGTTGCTTGTGAAGGATCCGAATAGACGGTTAGGTTGCCACCGTGGCGCGGCGGAGATAAAGGAGCACGCTTTTTTCAGGGGTGTGAGGTGGGATTTGTTAACGGAGGTGGTACGACCGCCGTTTATTCCGTTAAGAGATGACGGAGAATTAACGGTAGGTGGGTTTGATATAAGGGAGCATTTTGAGAAACTGAGGACGACTCCATCATCAGCTCCTCCGTCACCGTTACAGTCTCCGCCGCACGTGTGTCGTAAAAACGATCCGTTTATTGATTTCTAATCCACGTGTGGGGAATCTAACACGTACAAAGTTGTAGATAAACTTTTTTTCCTTTTGTAATTTTCACTTCTTTTTTTCTGATTTTCATTTGTAAGAAAATCATTGTTAGAACAAGAAACTGGAAAAGGAAATGTATTTCCCCTGACGTGAAAATTATGAAAATTATAATCGTTTCTTATTGAAGACTTCGCTTGAAATCGGAAGAAAATATTTATACAAAACAGTGTAATTTAGATAAATAAGAGATATGTATTTTTTTAAAAAGGTATAATTATAAGCGCCCAAACATCCGTTGTCTAGTGGCAGAAGAAACTTTGGGAAAAGATGAAACTCCCAAACCTGAGTTCGATTCTCCCTGGAAACAAAAACACATTTGTTTGGGAAGTCTGTCAGTTGGGCCTTGGCCCAATTGGTTTACCTGGTAGCCAGAAATGCAGACGGTCTGACTACCCCTGGCACTTAGTCAGAAAGCATTCCAAATTCGGGATAGGCAGAGTGGTAGCCCGTAAGGGCCTAACCGTTAACACGGTGGACCAGTCCACTATGTAGCACCTCGGTGCGTTCCTACTGGGGCCGACCGGATAGCCGATAGGATTTATCAAAAAAAAAAAAATTATAAGGAATCATTAGTTTATTTTGATTTAGAATGTCAAGGAAAAAGATGGAGTTAGTGGGTATTGGATTGGATACGAATTATCAAGGGTTTGGGTTGAAAATGTGGTAGAAACAAAAAATAAAGTAAAGAATAAGATGGGAATGTGTAATCATAAAATTCATAATTACACGGCATAAATCCTTCCATAAAGCACGTTACCTGATAATTACACCTGAGAATCCACATTTGTATAGTATATCTTTTCTTCTTTCACATACGTTGATAGCACTCAACATTTATACAAGCCATAAGTAAAAGACGAAAAAGAGTTAAGATGTGGAATCGGTACTTCCTTTTTTAATACGCTATGATAAAGTAAATTTTATTTCGCTGGCTTTATTAGTTAATCGTGGATCATCAAAGTTCTAGTGATTCGGTAGGGTAAATGGTTTTTAGCGATTAGATAAAAGATATTGAACTTAAGACGGCAAGTAAGTGAATCCCAACCACAATTTAGACATGTTTATCGAAGTGTTGGGGCACCTTGATGCCACATCTTTGATTACTTTATTAATTAATAATGTTTTAGTTGACAAAGATCTAGTCATCGGAGCAAATTATCCTCACGTCAAGATGCCCCAACACTCTTATGAAAATTGATTACAACATATCCATGGAGAATCTTTTATTCGGATTCGAATTCCGTGTTATTTTTAAATTAAAGCAAGAAATTGTTATGCCTGAAGCTGAATTAATAATCCAATACTTACTGATATTATCATATTAACAAGTTATGATTAATCTGTCTCTTCTTCTTTAGAAATCAAAGTTACTAGATATCATTCCTATAGTGTCATAAAAGATTATCACGGAGAGATATGTAAAGAAGGGGTTCAAGATCCTCTCTACGATGGATCTAAGACTAGCTAAATTCTTGTGTTTGTATGATATTAACAATAGATGCAAATATGTTGAGATATGGAGCCAAAAGCAAAGTCACGGGTAGAACAAAGCCTACCCATATTAAGAATACACCTACAATCTAAAAAGAGAGATGTTTGGCTTTGAAAATAAAATTTAACTTTTATTGAGGTGTTCGGCCAAAAAGTTGTACAGATAGTTGGTATATCTTCTTTTTTTTTGTTACTTGAAATTTTATTGATAAATTTGTTGTGAAACCAAAATATAATACAACACCCAAAAGAGGGAAGCAAAGCCGACGGACAAAGACAAATCCCCGGAGAGCCGGAGGAAAACGAGAATTCCCCGGAAACTAGGCCCTATGTAAGGGAAACTAAAGACACTAAAACAAAAAACATAAAAACTCAAACCAAAACGAAAATAGACGAACCCTTATACTAAACACTGAAACAACTAGGCAACAACCAACCAAAAGACACTAGACTTAAGAGGCAAGAGGACCTCTTCTTCCGTTGCACCTACGAATAGATAGTTGGTATATCTATGTTGACAAAGATTAAAAGCATAAAGCATCTTATATATTATGCATGGGAATATATATTGAAACTTTTCTATACTGTAGAGTAGAGTACTAGATTTTTTTTTAGAATGGTAAGAAAAAATAGAGCCTTCAAAATTGGTATGTTAACAATTGCATAAGTTTAATCATTTGAAAATTGATAAAGATAAATTAATTTTAGTCTCATATTGTTCGTTAATTTGGGTTTGCCGTTAATTTTTTCACTAGTAAGTGAGCAAAGTGGATTTTGAGTAGCACTGAAGACGACAAAAGGAAGGTAAAACTGAAAAAGAAAGGGGGACAAAGCCTAGAGCATCTTCAATGGGGAGTTGTCTCTATGAAGCTCTCTCAATTTTTTAATTATAAATTTGTTGAAATTTTGAGATGAGAACTTTTGTTTTTTTTTTAAAAATTTTCATAGTCCAATGGTAGGTTCTCTAGTGAGGTTCTCTTAGGAAAAAAAAATTTATTAAAAATATTCTTTCATAAAACTTAATAATTATTACAATTCATAAAAATATTAAGCATACATTATTTTCAAACATTTCAAAAAAGATTTGAAAAAAACAAAACCGGAATACCTATTAGTTGTACTGTTGATTGTTGCGAAATTTTTGCCATATATGTTCAACCAAATTAGCTTTCAATTGACAATTTCAAAGTTTAATTTTAAATTTTAACAATTTCAAAGTTTAGGAATTTCATTGGGGCTCTTAAAAATAATTTTTGAAAATAAAATTAGGTGTTTGGTGTTTTGAAGTTTTGAAAAGAAAGATTTGAAGTGTTTTGGTTCTTAAAAAATTTAGTTACAACATTTGTATGAACATAAAAGAACACATATATAAAGCAAAGTGTATAGCAAAAAACACATAAACATGTATGAAAGAACACATAAAAGAAAACAAATTTACACGCCGAAGAATCCAAAAACAACAACACATTGTAATCTCTCTATCTATACAAATTTAAAGTTGAAACTCCAGGAAAAAGGATAAAAGAAGGCACAAACTATGCAAAGTAGCCAATTTTCTCATATAACTTGCTAGAGATCACATCTCGGGCAAGCTTGGTCGGGTTTACAAACTTGTCTTTGGTCTCTGCAATAAACTTGGCAAACTGAGATCCTTTCTTTTGTTTGTTATTACCATCTTTGAGTAACTTAGGCAGATTGGATAGAGGCTGCTCAGTCTTTGGTGATAGCAGTGATGGCATCAAAGCCCAAATGGATGAGAGTTCTTGGCTTGGTTGATCAAGTGTTTGAAAGATCTTTATGTTCTGCATATCTGTTTTAAGACGGGAACAATAATAAGCAAACACTTGTTAAGGACACTTAGCACATGTAAGGCAAAAGAGAATGCAGTTTCAGGGTATGCAAAGAAATCTATGCAAGATTATGGAAGCACGACATAAACAAGAATTGATCACAAATCTGATTCAAGACGTTGACGGAATCAATATAAAATGGTACAATTCACAGTATACAAAATGGATACTCTTGAGGCTTCAGATAACAGCTTCTTAGCCACTCTGCTTCATCCTTGTTACCAAACCTCAACAAGCTTACCAAACCTCAACAAGCTGCTCTAAACTGAAACAATGACATATACTTAAACTGAAACAATGACAATTACTAAATCAGGCTCACATATGCTATTATACACACTATAAGCAGAAGCTATGCACCTGCATCTCGAGTACATGTTCACTAAACCACAACGAACATAAGAATGAGAATCAAGATTGATTTTCAAACAAAATCCATGAACAGACCAAGCAGTGAGTAACAAACTCGGATCAATCAAACCAGTCGTTAGGGCTACCATTGTATAACAATTCGGTACATATCCTCGATGTTGCATCAGGTAAACAAATTGATTCCTTTATCCCAAAATCCAGAACGTCTTCTCTCCGATTCGCATCCCAAATCTCCCATTAGGATAACCTACGGCCGCCGATGGTGAGAAGCGGCTCTGGAGATGATGAATCCGGCGTCACGAACTCAGACACACCAAAATTTCACACGTTTTTACACTCCCCACTCAACCAAATCGGAAAAAATTTGGCTCTGCAAGAAATCGAGAGAGAGATAGTTGGGAACTCGAAGAAATGAAGAAATGAAGAGAGAGAGGGTTTTTGTTTGTTAAATATAATCACCCAATCAGCTTCTGCCACGTGTGTGGCTCTCTCACATCTCTCACCCAATCACCAAAACGATTCTCTCAATAATTATCTGTTTTGATTTATTTTTAATCATTTAAATAAAAGAGAACCCAACTAAATTATGAGAGAACCTCCCATTAGAGGTGCTCTAAGATTTTAGGTTGGCATTCATCAAAAATGACAAAAGATATTTTATTCCATTAAAGCCCATCAAAATAATGAAATTAAGTAAAATTAGTTAGAAAGCAAAATAAAATACTCCAATTGTTGTGTTCGAAGGAGTAAAAAAACAAAATAATTTTAATGCTACGAAGGTCACCTCACGTGTTGTGTTCGGCCCAACCTTATTCCAAATTCATTCCAGAAGCAGCCCAAATCAGGGAAAATTATTTGAAGATTTTGATTAACGTAATTGTCACTAATCAGCGAGAATCACGTGTTGTTTTCTTCTTTTTAAATAGAATGAATATGTGCAGAAGTAAAAATGGGGTATCAAATTAGGAAAAAGGCATTATACATTTTTTTTCTCTCACGAACTTCAAATAACGATGGAAAAAGGTTTGGATTTGCCATTGATTACAAAAAAAAAACAAAACATGTGTTGTCCTTGCGCGTAAGGGAGATAAATAGGTTTACGAATAATCGAAAAAACAGTCTAATATTTAATAAATGTTCAATAGTTGAAATAAGTGTTAGGCGACAATAAACAGAACGAAGTGACGATTATTAAATACAGCCGACTTTAATTTGAATCTATAACAAAAACATATAGGCGAAAATTAAAAAATTTAAACAATAACTTAATTGCGTAGATATCTATTAATAAATTTAGCATTATATAGTTTGACATATGATTCTATAAAAATATATAAATAACTATAAATTCTTTAACTAATTGAGATATGTTTACCCAAAATGATAACTTTCTCACTTCTTCGAGTGAGATTGCATCTCACAGTGACGAAGCTCAAAATATCATCATCAAATTCAAAACTCTCTTTGCGTCTAAACTTCTTGAAATTTTGAATACAAAACAGTAAGGAATACATGAAACTTGACACATCTCCACAAATTTTGTTAGATCTGCATCTACACTTAGTATATCTATTTGTGGAGATATAAAAATGGCTACAGATCCGTGAAAATTGTCTCTTCCGGCAATAAATCTGTGATCTAATTCTTTCGGTACATTGTGAATAGTAAACATAACGATGTTTTCTGCTCGGTTTGAATGAATTAGAACATAGTTGAGAGATAGAGAAATGAACATTACAAAAAAATTAGACATCCAAAAGTTAGAAATTAAAAAGAAAAAAAAACGTTAGACGCATGAGGTTAAAGTAGGGAAAAAAGTAGATTAAGTATTATCATTGTTTTAGGTTTTATATCATAATACATACCAAAAATTTTATTTGCTCAAAATAATTATCTCTCACCTAATTATCTCTTTTAAATATATCTGCATTTGTTTTGGCCATGTAACGTAATTGTCACTAATTAAATTCATGTGTTGGTTTTAATTTATTAGATATGTAAGAGTTCACATTGGATAGAATATTAGAAACAAAAAACACTTGTTAACACACAAAGTTACATTGGATAGAATATTAGAAATTCTTTTGAAGACAATCGCTGTAGCGCTGCCAGTCTACACTATGAACTGTTTCAAGCTCCCCAAAGGAACCTGTGAAGAAATAGACAGAGTAATTGCTAATCATTGGTGGAGTAAGGGCTCTCAAAAAAGACCAGTACATTGGGTTGCATGGAACAGATTGGTATTACCGAAAAAACGAAGGCGGTCTAGGATTTCGTGATATTGAAAGCTTTAATCTTGCTCTACTTGGAAAACAAGTGTGGAGGATCATGCAATCTCCAAACAGCTTAGTGGCAAGCATCCTCAAAGGTCGCTATTACCAGAACACTAATATCCTAAATGCAGGACATGGATACAAACCTTCTTTCATTTGGAAATCATTACTAGAAGGCCGAGATTTACTCAAGAAGGGATTGAGATTTTTGATTGGTGATGGTAACCATACCAGTGCTTGGTTGGATCCTTGGCTTCCAACGCACCCGGCTAGGCCACCACAATTCATAGCTGGGCAGGAAACAAGTATTTCCAGTGTAGGTGATCTCCTGAATGAGAGAAGGAATGGATGGAACATGGAGTTGGTGAATCAATGTGTGGTTGAAGAAGATATTGCACTTTTAAGGAAACTCAAATTGAGTACTGCCTCCTCACCAGACTTCTTGGGATGGAACTATACAGAAAATGGTATCTACACAGTAAAGTCCGGGTATTGGTTAGCAAGACATCTACCGGAATATGGAGGAGAAGTTCAACCACCGCCAGGTAACTTGAGGTTCAAAGCTGCGATATGGAAATTAAACACGGCCCCAAAACTCAGGCACTTCCTCTGGCGCATGCTCTCCAACGCAATGCCAATTGGTACTATTCTCAACCGAAGAGGTATTACAACAGACTCTCAATGTCGTCGATGCTGTTCCGAGGAAGAGACAATGGATCACTTATTCTTTACATGTAGCTATGCCCAAGCGGTTTGGCGAGGAACCCAACGACCCATTCCAGAAATTCATGATCCCTTTGGAAACTTCAATTCACGTTTTCAGGCAATTCTTGAGAACCACAATAACCATGATCTTCCTTTACTTACAAGGCAACTACCAGTATGGATCCTTTGGAGTATTTGGAAAAGTAGGAATCTCCTTGTTTATCAAAAGAAAAACAGCTGCTGGTATCAAGACATTCAAAAGGCCATCATCGAAGCCAAGGAATGGTTACCAAGCACAAATACACCCAATAACGAAAGTCAAAGGTTTAACCGAGGACTCACAGATGCTCTATCAGAGTGGAAGTGCCCAGCCACCGGATACGTAAAATGTAACTATGACTGCACCTACCGACAACACGACAACTCCTCTCAAGCCGCGTGGATAATAAGAGACGATAGCGGATTCTATCATGGCGCAACTCAGAGTAAAGGTTATCAGTGCAGCTCCCCCTTGGAGGCAGAATTACAAGCTCTACTCATGTCAATGCAAGCAGTATGGACGAAAGGATATCGAAAAGTGATCTTTGAAGGTGACAACCAAACGGTCCACAAACTCATCAATGGTGAGAAAACAAACTTCTATCTTCACAATTGGATCCGGGACATCAGAATCTGGCAAAAAAAGTTTGAATCAACTGAGTTTCAATGGGTCTCACGGAAATCCAACAAGGTTGCAGATAAACTAGCCAAAGAACCGTTGCCTTTAAATTCTTCTTATGTTTACCACTTTTACATTCCCACTTGTATTACTACTGTCCTCCACGAGGATCACTCTGTCTCAAATTAATGCAAGTTGATGTTGATGTTAAAAAAAAAAAAAAAAAACACACAAAGTTTTGGATTGCATTATATTTATTCAAAATCTAATCAATATTAACAGACAATTTGAAACTGAATATTTAACATATTAATTGTAGTCTCTTTAACCCTATCGGTAGTAGCTATCAATTACTATTATTTTTAAATAACACTTGTTCCATTAGATTTAGCTTGGTTTAGTCACCAAAAAAAGTAACTAGCTAGAAAGTTTCATTGTTTTCTTGTATACCATTACGTATTTGGTCTTTTGTTAATTAGAGAAGAGATCCTATTCGAAAAAAGAAAAATTTCTGTTAAGTTATTTTACAAGTAGTGAACAAAGTGTATTTGGGGTTGCACTAAGAAGGACAAATACAAAAAAGAAGAATAAAAGATGAAAAAGAAACGGGACAAAGCCTATAATTATAGGTTGGCATTTCTCGAAACTGACAATCGGTATTTTATACTAAAACCCATCAAGATAATTAATATTGGAGAAACTAAATAAGTAAAGAGACAAAAGAAGATTTAGATACTGGGAATGTGATCACATGTTGTGTTCGGCCGACCTTATTCCAGAAGCAACCGAAGGCAGGGAGCGAGTTAAAGAACTTGTACAACTTTCTTTTTCTTCTTTAATTCATGTTCACAAAAAAAAAAATCAATTTCTTTTGATGATATATGGCCGATTCTTTTTCAAAATATATAATCAATAGGTTCAAACTTACTATATAGTTTACACAAATGGTTTGTTTGAATCTTAACTTTACATACCACAAAGTATGAAAACAAGATTTGTGTTTGACACTAAACCATAAAAATCACAATCAAATAGGGACCAACGTAGGCCCAATTAGTTTGGACTCTAAGGCTATATGAGCCCAAAACATCTAAAATTTTGTAAACAAGTATATACATATATTTAACTAAAGACATGAGCAATGATGCAGTGACATAAAGAGTAGACCCATGTAGTGAAGCAGCGACAGGTCCTGAGGTTAACACTCACCGCAAAATGCTTACAGAGTCTCACATGCAATGCCTCTGCCATTTATTATACTTTTTATTACCCCCACAACGCTTTCTTTTTAATGTTTCATTTAATTCTGCTTCATGTGATTTGAATTTTTCCACATTATATGTATTTGGCTCTAGAATAAATGTTCTTAAACAACCCAACTAAATGCATTCCTAGTCTATTTTTTTATGTATATGGTATAAAATATGTAAGAGAAATTAAAAAAAGTTTACTCGAGACTATAAATACGACCATATCCGTATGGTATTTCCATGTATATCCTATATTCGGATATTCCCAATAATTGACTCTTGTCAGTTGTCACAATAAACATAATTGACTAATTTATTTTAAAAATTACGGAAACTGGTTATCTTTATCAACGGTTTAATGGCTTTGAATGGTAACCCATTTTAAGTAGTACAGCTTTTGACAGTTACCAATCACAAAAGCTTTATGAAAAGCGGTACACTATAACATAAACAGTTTTTTTGGACAAAAAAAACAAATTAAAACGGTTACGGTTAAATACTGTTATGGTTAAATATGGTTACGATTAAATACGGTTATAACGGTTACGGTTAAATACAGTTATAACAGTTACGGTTAAATACAGTTACGGTTACGGTTACGGATAATTACAGTTATAGTTATTTGATGACTACAATACGGTTAATATCGAAGGCGAAATCTTACGAGTTACCTAACTTATTATAATACTTTTCATAAAATCAAAAAGTATGTTACAAACCAAATTTTCTTCATTCGAGCAAAATAACAGTATAACATATTTGTTTGAGAAAAAGACCATTTTATATAACGTAGATTTTTTCATACGCGGTATCATTTACTTTTTTGAAAATCTTAATCTGAACATTCGATAATTGTTTTTGCATTAGATGGAGTCACAATTATATTTTTAAAGTTTTAACTATGCGGTTAACCATATGGTTAAATAACGTTTATTTATTATGTGTACCGCTATGATGTTTCCAATCAGAGTAAATTTTTAAAATTTGTTATGCGTTATTTTTTTATACAGCTTTCGTGTTTTATTTTTTTGTACAGCTTTGCACTATTCCCTAACAGCTAACAGCTCCAGCTAACAGCTTGTTACCAATCAGATCCAATGTTTTTAAACTGGCTATAAAAATGGTATATGTACATATAACATACTGAAAAAAAAAACCAAACAATTGATTTCAAAATGATAGCAATCGTGTGATGAATGAAACTGGAGTTTATATAATGTTGGTCATCACATAATTCAACTAAACGTAGCATATGTTTTTTTAAATGCATAACCATAAATATAATAATGTCTAATCATAAAAAACTCAAATTACATATAAAAATCAATTTTTCAAACAAGCCCTCAAGGGTTTACCACAAAGACAGTCGTTAAACATAAACGACGCCGCTTCAAGATGATCGAACGGCGAACCCACCGGAATCCTCCCACAGAGATGGTTATGGCTAAGATCCAAATGACCAATAAACGACGCACCAGAGATCGATCTTGGGATTGGTCCTTTCAGATTATTATACGACAAATCAAGAACAGTGAAGTAAGACCTTGGTCCAAACCCTTCCGGTATCTTCCCTTGTAGTAAATTCCGGCTCAAATTCAGATTCATCACCGACGACGTCATCAGAGTTTGAGGTATCTCTCCGGAGATTTTGTTTCCGTCGAGGTTTAGTGTTGCTAGAACCGACATACGTCCTAGAGACGGTGGGATTGTACCGTAGAGTTGGTTACCGGAGAGATCCACGTCAGCTAACCGGTATATATTGGATAAGGATTCAGGGATCCGACCGGTTATTCGGTTACCGGACAATAACGCACGGCTGAGCATTTTTAATCTTCCGACGTCGGAAGGGATTACGCCGGAGATTAAGTTGTTACGGAGATCTAAATGCATTAAGCTAGAGAGATTGGTTAACGATTTTGGAATTGAACCGGAGATTCGGTTATCGGCTACGTTTAAAACAGCTAACCGGTTTAATCTTCCGATGTCGTATGGAATCCCACCGGAGATTTGGTTTCCGATTAAGTCGAGTGTACGGAGAAAAGGGAGACGAGTGATGCATTTAGGGATTTCGCCGGAGATGCCTTTCCAATCGGCGATTGTAATGGCGGAGAGACGAGTGAGGTCACATATCGAGGCGGAGATGTGGCCGGTCATGTAACCGGTTCGATGAGCTCGTTCGAAGATTGGATCTTCTGACTCGCCGCGGAGGTTTATGTCGGCGACTCGGTGAGTGAGCGAGTCACAGCTAATGCCGTACCAGTTGTGGCAACAGTCCTGGCCGGTCCATGAGTTGAAAATACCGAGGTAAGGCTCGTGAAGAGCTGATCGGAAAGCTAGAAGTGCACGGCGGTCTGACGGCGGACAACACGTGGCGGATGAGATTAGAAGGAGAAAGAGTAAAACGACGACGTTGAGATTCATTGTTTGAAAGATTTTTTTTTTTTTTTTGTGACAGTGTTGGGAATTGGAACTTGATGGGTGAGGGAAGAAGATAAACGTTAATGGCATATAAATAGCGGATAATAAATAAAAGAGGGAATTTTTAAAAATAATAGTAATAAAAAAGAAAAAGGACAATACTTGGCTTTTTTTTTTTACGTGAAATTAGTAGAATTAATAATAATTCGATAGGGGTATGATTAGACATTTTGGCATCGTAACAATAATGAAGCTTGTGTTCGTGTAATCTTGATTAATCAAGAAATTCTACCTCAAATTAGTCAACAACAAATGTCAAATTCATGTAAGATATCTTAAACACAAAAAAACGAGAACGTAAGAAATTGGTAATAACTTTTAACATGTGGGTTTGTTTGTTTGAATAACATGGGATTGTGTGGTTTGTAATAACTAGTTGTAGCAATAATAAGGCCACAAATGTGAAGAAACATACACATGGATTTATAATGTTGAGCACATTCATTAGATGTTAATAGAAAAGCTTGCAGACAAATTAAGATAGAGACAGGAACTGAAAGTGGGGAGAGTTCCCATGCAAATAATTGAAGCTACGATTAGATTTTCCGATGCGACTTGCCCCGGTTGGATAAGCTTTTGCTTATTACAATCATATCACAGGGTCAACATGACGCCACGTGGTGTTGTTCTTGCATTTTGATCCTTTCTTTTTTTCCTAAAGCATTCTTATTTTTTAATCATGTTATGAGATGACGACGATGCACATCTTCGAGTCGCAAATAATTGTGGTTCTGTTACTTATCTTGACTATAGTGGGCTAAGAAGATTGGGCTTTAAAGCATATAAATAAATGGGAGTTTTTGACAAATAAAAACATTTACCGTTTATGATTTTTCACCGTCCCTATCTGATTCAGCACCGACGGTTTTGTAATAAACGGCGGCCACATGAAACTTACATACTAGTTACATATATAATTGTGATTTGTGAAACATGTTTTTGTCCTTAACATTCTTAAATGCGAGACACGGTAATGTCCAAAGTTTAATAGTAGTATTAGTTTTCAAGTTTATAGGTGTTGCACTAGATTTTTTTTTTCTTATCTGGAGGGGTATATATGATATGGTTTTTAACTATCTTTTCAAAGTTATTAATAATTTGTATATGATGTATCGCATAAAATCTGTCTAATACGGTCTACTAATAATTTTCCATCACAAAGATGAGTAGAATCTTGTTTGAAAGAACAAAAAAAAGAGTTGAGATTTGGAAGTTAAAATCTCATCTTGGTGGATTTTGTTTCTTAGAACTTGATGTGTTTTGGCTTGTCATGCGACAACTTAGTTGTTACGGGTATTACGTGTCAAGAAATTACAATTATTGCTTTTGGTTATGAGTATTAGTCATCCACGAACTCCAACGCTGGTTAGGTCGCAAGGTATCAACAAGATTAGTGCAAGATTAATGACATAAGCCAAGTAGCCAACTAATAGGGAAATACTAATTGAAGAGTAGATTTTGATTAAACCTTTTTCTTACTTGAAGAAAAGACAAACATTACAAATATGAAATACCTAGAAAATGTCTGTACCAAAGAGCTCTCAATTGTCTTTTACAACATAGACGTAAACCAAACAAACATCTTCATGCTCGGAGCAATTGTTTCTTTTCTTCTTACATGATTGTGTCTATAAGACACAGACCCTGAAACAGAGATTAATAGTAACTCCTTTCGCTACGAGCTAGAAGGATCTGTTTCATTGCTCCACCAGAAGCTAACCGAGAAACTCATTGTTAAGGACCTGACATAGTGCCACCATTTGGGAGGGATGTACAGCATTTCACCTTCTTCTAGAATACAATCCATAAACTCCAACTCCGTTGCCTTTGGGAACTCGGTCTTGTCGATATTGTCTAGATCAACCTTCAACCAAAGTTTGAAACCAACCAGTTTTGGAAATCGAGTTAGCTTCCAGTTTTATGTTTGTTTAATCCAAAATCAGATTTGACTTTGGAATGACAAATCTTACCTGGCTAGAGTTGCAGAGCATTGTCTCAGAGTAAGGGTAAAGTTCGTCTTGTAGGGAGGATGGGTAAAGCCTTATATACTTCTTGCCAACAACCTGACGAACAGATGATATAAAAACTTCAGTAGGAGGATAAAGCATATCAATAAAGAAGTTTCCGTAAACTGGAAACATATGAGACACTCTAAAAAGGTCCAAATGAATTGCAGGCCAAACGATTTCTTTGGTTAGTCAAAGAGTCATCAGACTTCAATCCAGCGAGATGATCAGGCTTTATTATGCAAGAACATCAAAGAAGAAAAAGGTTGTTAAACACTTACAGAACATATATATATATATATATATATCGGATAGCATAAAAGACAGCGAGCAAAGACAAGAAGCCATGCTTAGCTCATGTAAGGAAAAGATCTTTCACCGTAGTTACCTGAGCAAGTATATTATGATGTGGATCATGGTGTAACGGAGTAACTGTCCCAGCCGGGCCAAACCACGCATTAAGTGATTGGAGTTCCCCACCACCGACAAAACAGTAATCAGGTATACATATATCATCTCTCAGTTCATTTATCTGCCCATTTGTGTTAAACCAATAACCATAGGTTCAGTATGAGACACACCGAGTACAGACAAACATATACATCAAACATCCCGGTACATATATTACCTGATCAAACAAAGGATGCTGCGCAAGATAGGTAGGCTCCATTGGAGACGATTTATTGGTCCGAATCCGTTCAAGGAACTTAGAAAATGTCACAAGCTCTTGCTTCCAGTCAGAACACAAATAGTTTTTCCCCACCTGAATAGCATTTTAAACTTTACCAGCTTTCAGCTAGGGAAAAATTATTCTGATCCAACCCATATTCTTATTAGGTCAGACTAGACAGTGGTACGACTCATAACTCTATGAAGCAAAAATGACAAAGCCTATGCTCGTGAAATTGTTAACTTATCCTTGATAAAATGCAACAATATCTATCTGATTTTATGTGATAATCTAATCTAGATGCAAATCTTATTCTAAGCTAGACCCTAAACCTTTTATCATACAGTTGACACGACTCTATGGGATTCAACATTCTTAAGAAGAACCATAAAAAAATATGAAGATACAACTTAGAGCAGCGTAGGAGCCACCTTAAGCTAAAACCATCCTCTTATGACTACTAATCAACACTCACAACCTAACTAAGTACTAAGTGACGAAATGATGGGCAGTCACCTCCACGGGAACGGTGCGGTTACCAGCAACAGCATTGAGGTAGTCCAAGTGATTCCACTTGGTCCTGGCTGGCCAATGAGCCATAGAATTGGTTATAACAACTGGTGTACCTGACAGAAAATAATCACGCAGAAACCCCTCCAAAGATAAACCAGACCTCTTCTCTACTCTTCTACAAGTTAAGGACCTGCAAGGTAGAATCTTAAGCACCTGCAAGATTCAACAACAAAACCAAAATCAACACGAAGCAATTCAAAAGTAATGATTTCTCTTCACAACAAATCTCCATTTTCATTTAGAGCTCATCGAGATTTCAAGATCTGAGTCTTACAAGTACTTGTAGATTAGCAAAACCATGTCTCACCTCATTGAGGTCAACGGGAACTTCCGGGACCAATTTCTCACCCTTGAACTCTCCAGAAGCTTCTTCAAGACTCTTTGTCTTCTTACGAGCTTCAGAGGAGACCAACAAAACAGAATCATGAAGATCCTTGCGGAGAAGCATCCCTCCCATGATAAGCCCCATATCAAGCGCACCAAGCGCCTCACCAAACTCGCCGTCGGCGAAATGAATTTTAGCGACGTGGAGACAAGCCATTGAGTAAGCGTCGCGCCACACGGGGAGAACTGAGTGCCATGGACCAGAGTGAAGTTGCTCCCAAGCCATATCACGCGCCGCCTCCGCCGCACTTTGGTCACCGGCCACCGCTAACGCCGCCATGCGAGCATAGGCGTAACCGCCTTGAGCAGAAATCGATTGCAGCAGAGATTGAAATTCGGCGTCAAGCGTCGGAGTTGGGAGACGGAGGTTGTTGTGGTCTCCGGAGGAAGCGGTGGAAGCTCCAGACATTGGGATGGATCGGGTCGGGTTTTCGGGTCGGGTCGTCTTAAGTGGTATGTGGTGGGAGATATTTTAGAGTGATGAGTTGGGGAAAGTGTAAGCGAAAAAGTGGAAAGGGAAAGAAAGATATTAGGAAGTGATGATTAGGATCAGATATTTTCGTATTTATAACTGTAGTCTTTCTAATTTTGAAAAGGAACCCTCCAAAATAGTACAATTTATGCAATCACTCCTATCATTCTTTTTTGTACTTGCGGAATTAATTATTTTTTATAAACCATAAAATACAATAAAATAATAAAATATTAAAAAATACTATTTTGAACATATAATATACCCAAATATCTTTTATAAAAGTTAGGTTAGATAAGAAAAGAGCAAATTTATGCTCTGAATATGTTTTATAATTATGCCTACGTTTAGTTTTATTTTGTAAGGTGTATTTTATGCTAAATTTTATGTTTGCGGTTTTAGTTTGGTAAAAAAAAAAATTGTACAGTATTATGTTTTTTCATTGGTGTTACTAGGGGTGTTAAAATGAGTCAAAATTTAAGGTCAACCCAACTCAACTCAATCCATGAACCCTAATGAGTTGAAAATTTTGAATTTACATAGATTTTAATTTATTAAACCATTGAGGCCTGACTCATCAATGTCAATGATTTGGAGGGTACTAAGTAGGCTTGCGACTTCGGGTAATTCGGTTAATTCGGGTTAGGTATTTCTGTTATTCGGGTAGTTTGGAATTTGAGTAATGGTACCGAAAATAACCGAATTAATAAACGGTTCGGTTCGGTTCGGGTATCGGGTTTTTCGGGTATTTGTCTTGGTTACCGAAATTAACCGAATATTTTAGATATTTGGTTAAGTTTGGTTAATTCAGTTAAATCGGGTCAATTATCTCGGTTAATTCGGATAAATAAGGATAATCCGGTTAATTTTGGTTAAATCGGGTCGGTTAGTTCGGTTAATTTTGGGTAA